ACTAAACACAGTGATTGCCCAGTCCTCCCAGGGTCTCTCTCCTCGCCCTTTCTCCTGGATGGCCTCCCTACCAGAGAAGTTGACCTTGCCAAGAGATAAGCCGGGGGAGTCGCTGGTTCTTCAGCAGCATCTGTCACCTAGCCTTCTGGTGGCAGGTAGCAAGTCTTCGTGGGCTCACAGGCACTTGCCCCTGGCTTAGACCAGGCCTGTGAGGACTCCATGAAACTGCCTTGTCCGCCTACTCAATAATCTCACACTGTTACTATTTTATTACTGTTCTTTTGATGCCACCATCTACCTTCATGTCGCAGTCCCTCATGTTGATCACTGATCCCTCACAATAAGGTTTTCTCTTTTCTTTCCTGCTCCACGTGGTGCAGGCCTCCTTGTTACTAACTCAGTAGCAACAACTATACTCCTTTCTCTCTGAATCCTCTTTTCTACCCAGCTCAGCAACTTTTGCTCTAAAGAAACAAAAACTCATCAGCAGAGGTGACAGGAACTATAGGCCAGCTCAGGAAAATAAAAAAATATTTAAGAACATCTGTGCCTACCATCTTTGACAAGTATTATAGAAGATTCAAAGAACTTGCTCTTAGGAATTGTAGCTTCATATTAACAATAAGACATTTCCAAATACCTCACTGCAAAGTAGAGTGTGGTAAATGACATGAAAGAAAGCAAAATAAGTGCTTGGATTGTTGAGAAGAGAAAAAGCAAGTAACACAAGCTGGACAGGTCTTGCAATACTTGATGGAGTTGGTGGCATTTGAATGGACACTTGATCAGAAACAAAGGAGAAGAAGTTGCAGGTGGAAGGAACTGTCTGAGCTAAACTCCTAGGAGAATTACATGTCTCAGGGTGTGGTCCCCAGACCAGTAGTATCACCTAAGAATGTGGTAGGACTGCAAATTCTCAGACCCCACCCTGGATCTACTGAATCAAGGCCCAGAAATCAGGGTTTTAACCAGGCCTCCAGATGATTCTAACTTCTTTCTTTTTTTTTAATTGACTTCAGAGAGAAAGGAAGAGGGAAGGAGAGATAGAAACATCAATGATGAGACACAATCTTCGATTGGCTGCCTCCTGCATGCCTTCCATTGGGGATCATGCCTGCAACCCAGGCATGTGCCCAAACCGGAAATTGAATCGTGACCTCCTGGTTCATAGGTCGATGCTCAACCACTGAGTTACACCAGCTGGGCTGATTCTGATTTCTGAAGCATGTGAAAGATAGGGCATGCCCTGCACAGAGAAGAGAAGAATAGTGGGATTCAAATATATATACTATATGTAATTTATAATTTATTTAATGCTCTGCCACATTCCAAAAATGAGATGAAAAATGACAATGTAGGGAATTTTATATTTTAGTCAGTAGGCAGTGGAACAGGCATGGAAGGAAAAGGGCTGGCCTTACACAACTAATTAAGTGACAGAAGCAGAATTCAGACCAACTCCCAAACAAGTAAGGGAGGAGGGCTGAGGACAGAGAAGATGCGACCTGCCATTTCCATCATCTCTCTTCCCTGCTCTTAGTAAATCCCTGCTCCTTAAGGAGGTTAATGTTCAAGGACTCTTTCCACAAGTTACAGAATGCATAGGGAGAATTGTCTCTTATCTTCCACCAGAGTGAAAAATTCACAAGAGTACACTCTGCCAAAAGAAACTATGTCAATGATTATGTCATAATTCTCAGTTTTTAAGGGGATTGAATGTTGATATAAAATACCTAAGGTTACTATTTTTTCTTCAAAACTGATACTCATCCTATGTAATAAAAGGGTAAGATGCAAATTGACCCTAACAGGGGAATGACCGGTCGCTATGATGGGAACTGACCACCAAGGGGCAGACACTTAAAGCAGGAGCTGCCCCCTAGCAGTCAGTGCACTCCCACAGGGGGAGCTCCGCTCAGCCACAAGCCAGGCTGATGGCTGTGAGCACAGTGACGGTGGCAGGAGCCTCTCCTACCTCCTTGGCAGCACTAAGGATATCTGACTGATGGCTAAGCCATCAGTCGGACCTCCCCGAGGGCTCCCAGGCTGCCAGAGGGATGTCTGGCTGCCAGCTTAGGCCCAATCCTCCTGGGTGTGGGCCTAAACTGGCAGGTGGGCATCCCCTGAGGGCTCCCGGACTGTGAGAGGCACAGGTCGGGCTGAGGGACTCCCCACCCCAGTGCACGAATTTTCATGCACCAGGCCTCTAGTTTGTTATAATAACGTAAACATTTATTTTTCCTTTTCAGAGCCAAAGACTCTGTCAAACACTTTCATGTTGAATATACCGGATTTTCATTTAAATTTGGCTTTAATGAATTCTCATCTTTGAAGGATTTTGTCAAGCATTTTGCAAATCAGCCTTTGATTGGGAGCGAGACAGGTAAGCTCTGAACACATAGATCCTTGACCTATGAGCCATTGTTTTGGGCAGAGGAGGAACAGGTGGATTTCAATTAAATACTTGTCAATTCTATTGAATTATGTGGGTATAACAGGCAATTGGATTTATTTTGAAAGTTTTCCCCAATTACTGTGCCATATGCTACATTAATAAATTATATACATAAATTTATATTTATGTGTATCTCAGTATTATCTTTAGGAGAAAACAATGTGCTTTCTGAAAACAATAATTTTTGTTGAAATATTATTTAAAGGATTGATTAAAAGTACACAATTTCTTTAAAATGACCTAGTCACTTTATAATAGTATATACAATAAACAAAGAAAGAACAAAAATAAGAATAAATTTTTGATGCCTCACCATTTTTAGGTAGGGTAGTTTGCATATCGGGGAGACCCATAACAGATAAGTTTGAGCCTTCTTAAAAACATAATTTGTATTTAAATTTCCAGAAAGATCACTGAATATTGAAATATTGACTAAAAATTGCTGTCCTGAGAAATTCCTTCATTTCATCATAAAATTCTCTTTGTCTTGTCTTGGTTTCTCTTAAGTTTTTAAATTGGACTTACATATGGCTAGAACATTTTAAATTTGTCTATTTGAGTTGTTAGAGTCAAAGCAGAATATGAAAGTTAAAAAGCAAACAAACACACTATCTTAGTATTTGAATTATCAAAGTTTTTTTGTCCATACTTTTTAAATAAATGATCATCCCTATATTTGTGATATAGAGTCACAATTTTATATGTCCAAAATGGTAATTCTCAGTTAATCAAAAGTTGGCAATTCCAAGAACCTATGGCACAGAGGAACTCACGACTTGATAACACAACTGGTTACTGTGAACTTGTACATACTGTTTTCTTGGTAAACATGGCCAGGGGGCTTTTTGTTAACTTTAGTGTGGTGGGAAGAGATGCCATCATTGTCTTTTCCTTTTCTGCTATTTCTGTGGTCTGGATAGACCCTGGTATGAATCATGCAATGTGAAGTAGAGATGAAAAGCACAGCAGAAACCACAAAATATTTGCCTTACTTTATACTGACCATACAAGGCCTATAATAGAATATCCCAAACTATAAAATTGAAGCTATAATTATTTTTATGGTGGAAATTCCCCCTATCAGCTCTGAAAATTACTTCACCATTTAACCAGAAGTAGTTCTCATAACCAAATGGTAGGTAGGGATGTATTTATTTCCATTGCTACTTTGGCCTTGGCAAGCATTTCAATTTCTCAAATCCCTTCACTTGTGACTTATTTCCTACTTGTGTCCAACCCTACACTTAGTATTATTCAATTCTTGGTCACTGGCAATAGAGAGGAGATTTCTGAAGCCAAAAACTTTGTCAACTTCTATCTTTGTCCTTCTCCATGTCCCCCAGATCCTGATATAGTGCATGGCACTTTGGGTGAACAAATGGATGGATGACTATGAAGAAGAACTCTTTGTAGCCTTCAAAACCATTATAATTATTATCTTCCAGCTTTCTCTTCTTTCTCCAAAGTCAGCTCCTTTCTTCTAAACTCTCCTCCTAGAATCTATTTTCAACCCCTTTAATCATTCTTTGTACTCTTTCCTGGACTTTCTTGAAGTTAGGGAAAAGTTACCCATTCTGCCTACCAACAGATTTCAAAACAATTTAAGATGAAAGTGAATCAGAGCTTTTTGGTTGAACCTTTCTGGCACTGATCCAATCACCAGGCAAGAGGCTCACCTAAGATTGACAGTGAATTTGGGACAATGCTAAAAACCCCGTAAATACATTTATCTAGCTAAAGGAGGTTCATTAGGGATTGTAAGAATTTGTAATCCTGACTCCTACAGTAGTTTTCTCCAAAGCTAAAGCTTGCTATATTATTATCATTATTTTATAGTACTATAATTATTTTATTGATGGTAATAAAATTCAGGAAACTAAGTTTTAATACTCTCCACTGAATCTCCTCTGTTCTATTCATTATCCAATAGAGAATTTGTTGCTACTGAAATACCCAGGTCCAGTCCTTCCCATTCTGAGGCTATCTTGGGTATTTCAGAACCCCTGCTACAGGAACCTGGTGCTGATGAATATGCACATGACTTACTGGCTTCTAGCCCTTGAGTTAGATTCTGCTAACTTATGAAATATCCCTCTTATCTGTCCCAGCCAGATGAAAACAAAGCCACTGAAGCTAGGAACAAGGGGCAAAACCCATGACAAATAAGTGTTCCAATTTTGCCCCTCTGGGAGTAATAGGCTCCAGGAAACTAGATAATGTGCTGAAGTCATGATGACTCAAGGACAGAAGTTCTCAGAAGCTGCAGAGTAGGCTCTGTGACCTATAAAGAATGGTGAATGGAAACTTGGATGCCACCTTCTAAAAACAGGTGTCTTCTTGTTCATTTAAGAGTTGGCTTCTGGCCCTGGCTGGTGTGGCTCAGTTTGTTAGAGCATCACCCTGTACACCAAAAGGTGGTGGGTTCGATTCCCAGTCAGGGCACATGCAGGAGGGAACCAATCAATGTTTCTCTTTCTCTTTCTGTCTACCTTCCTCTCTCAAAAAATCAATTAAAAAAGAAAGAAAGAAAGAATTGGCTTCTTCAGCATGGTAATGGATTTATGGCAGGCCCTTCTCTGTGGGCCTCTCATAGTGTTCCCATGCCAGAATAAACTGTGGCCTCGAACCATTGCCTAGCCTTCTTATCTGTGGGCTGTGAGCACTGAAGGAGGTTGTACAGTGTTCTGTTTTGTTTTGAAATTGGCTTCTGGTGTTGGCTCCCTATGATCAGAGATCAGGAGATCTCCAAACTGATGATTCCTTGTGTACCATTAGATGAAGGGCAAATTCTTCTTAAAGTTTTAGTTAGATAAAATATCACCTGGGGAAGCATTTGCCCGCCCAATGGATGAAGCCCTGCCAGGTTCTCACCTCCAGGTCCTCGGAATGGGAAGGACTAGACGGGTATTTCAGGCTTCTCCTCTCAGCCCAGGCCCCATTCAGACCAGACTCACCCTGCAAGGCCTGGAGAGTGAGTTTATTTAAGAGAGACTTTCTCACACTCATCCACTGGCAGGGATGGCACCACCTCTGAGGATAACAGAGAAGATGCAAATAGCCAACAACCTTACACCTGTGCCTTACATTTACATTTAATGTCGTCAGTTGAGTAAAACCCAGAACACTTGGTTCTGGATCATAAAAACATATTTGTGGCCAAGATAGGTAAACATATTAATCTAAAGGGATGAATACTATTTTAAGATATCTTTCTTTTCATTCTATTCCTATTCCCTACTTTGAGCTTTAAACTCAAAGAATTTCTGGTTCCTTCTCTGGAGAATGAAGATTCCCTAAACAAGATCTAACTTTCCTACAATTCTAAGATTCTCTTAGCATAATTTCCCCTTTCCCTTGCTATAATCTGCATTTAATCTCTCTAATCTCCAGTAATGTTTCTGTTCACTCTAATTTCTCCTTACTAATACCATAAGCACTCTTAAGCTATTTCCAGTTTTCAAAATCCAGTCATTTCCCAAGTATATCATAGAGATAAGTAAGTACCCTCTTGCTTTACTTTTCTCAATGACCCTTTTATCTTCTCACATATTGTATATTTCACTTTATTTTTTAAAATATATTTTATTGATTTTTTACAGAGAGGAAGGGAGAGGGATAGAGAGCTAGAAACATCGATCAGCTGCCTCCTGCACACCTCCTACTGGGAATGTGCCCGCAACCAAGGTACATGCCCTTGACTGGAATTGAACCTGGGACCTGCAGTCCGCAGGCCGGCGCTCTGTCCACTGAGCCAAACCGGTGAGGGCGTATATTTCACTTTAAAAAAATCTTTGTACTAGTATGTAAACTCTATGAGAAGAGAGATTTTCGTCCGTTTTATTTCCCTGGTATGTCCCAACACATAAAAGAATCAATGATAACAATTATCCACAACATTTCATGTTGGGTATCGCATTACCAATGCCTGCATTGCAGATGCATGGCAACCCACATCCGGCGGACTCCTGACAGTTAGGGTTTACTTCCAAAGTTTATACAAATCATAATTTGAATGATGTTATGTGTTGCATGTATGCTCAATAATGATTAAATTCAGAATTTGCCTTTCATTTTTAATATTAACATGTTATATAAAACCATCTCTTTATATTTGTACATGGCTTCTAAATTCAACTCCAGTAGGCTTGAAAATTTGACTTTTTTAAATATGCTTAGTCCATTATTAATTTTTACCATATCCTCTTATGATTGACTAAGTTTCCTATATAGTCTTGAAAATATAGATAATTCTCTTTATGTTAAATTCTAAATATTATTAGAACAAAAATTACCTTTCTGTTACCCTTTGTTTCTATTGCAATACTTATGTACATAAAATTGCCATATATGATTTATGACAGGAATAACTAGGTTGTGACTTTAATCACCTAACAGCATGAAAAATTATATTAGTCAAATGCTTTGTTTGTACTTACCCTTTATAGTAATTGGTTCTCAGTTTTAAAGATGCTATCTGGTTCTTTCTTAAATGTCAAATTTCCACTTCTCTTTTTGTTTTGAGGTGGGGATTCCCAACCTCTTGCTAACTGCTACGGTTGTTATTATATTTTGTGACACCAACCGTTTTACTCAGGTAGCATTTTAAAATAATTAAGTTAAAACTATTTTTAATTTGAGAATTGTGTGACATTTCTGAAAATAATGAGTGACAACTTGGAATTTTGCGAAACCATCAGCAGAAATCACTTCTTAGTTTATGTTTGCCAAAAATACATATTTTATTAGTTTGTAAAGAGGTGTTTTTGAAAAAGAAAAAAAGCAAGCAAAAAAGAGAATGAAACCAATATTTGTGGTGTTTACTAAGTTCTAGGTATTCTATTAGAAATTGTGACAAATATAAAATTCTTTAATCTTCTGAACCACCCACAATAATGTGTAAAGTGGTACCATTTTCAAATGAGGAAATCAAAACTCAGAGATTTTTAAATCATTTGCCCAAGATTACACACCTAGTAGGCATCACAGCTGAGGTTGGAATCCAGACTAACCTAGTTCTAAAGTGTAGGAGCTTTTCATGCCGCTTGCTCTCTCCTGAAACTACTCTTGTGGTAACACAGCGGTATAGTATTGCCGCAGCGCAGCATGGCCTTAAACAGATTTGAATGGGAAGGATCTCTGCCACAGTAATAATAGGAAGTTTGTAGGATATGGTGAGGCTACAATACGCATTTTAGTCCTATCCCTCTGTCTCTAAAGTCTATAATAATATTTTTGGCTCGTGATGTGAAGCCGTTGTCCTAAAGAATGTAAATCGGTTTGAACATCTGTCTTTGTACATATTGCTATTTGAGAAATTATACTAGAGGAAATCTTAAAACAGAAAAAGACTGATTAGAAAACATCTCCCAAATACTTTGGCCCCTCTCGTTCATGTCACTCCAGAAAGGCTATAAAACAGCCTCTGTAAATACAAGAAGGTAAAATAAAATGTAAAGTTTGATGGAGGAAAAGAAAAATGAGACACAAAGATAAAATGACACCAGGAAAAAAAAGTATTTCAAATGAATATTGTACATCTATGGCAAATAGGACGTGAATTTAGTTACTATTTCTTGCTCCTCAATTGGGGAGTTTAACTAGATTTACAGATGTTAGAAGGGGCAGGGACCTCAGAGACCATTTAATCTTTTCTTTAGAATTGAAAAAACAGCCCTAGTGAGAAATGTTGAGGCAAAAACTCACACATCCTTTTCTGAAGCTGCCTCCTAAAGAATCAGTTTCTTAATTTTGATTTATGCATATGCTCTCTTGCCCACGATAAATAGAGTACAATATTTCACATGCCATACAGAGTTTTCATGGTGGTGACACCAGAGCTGAGAATCATATATTGTATAATGAGTAAACAATTGAATTCCCAGTTCAACTTCAGTCCTAACATTCACCAGCTGTGTGTCCTCATGCAAGTTGTATAACCTCTCCAAGCTTCAGTTTCATCATGTTATAAAATTGAGCTGATGGTGTAATAGTTCATACCTTAAAAGGCCATGACTTGCAGTGAAGATTGAATGAGATTAGGCATGTAAGACATTTAGAATGATTCATCGCATGGCATAAATACTCAATCATTATTATTGTTACTTAATGAAGTCCCTTTGTAGCAATTCATTCCATAATACTATACACAAGAGCTATAAATTCTTTGGTATATCATGAAGAGTTAGTTTAGGGAGAGTTGAATGTGTATTTATCAAATGTGTATGATGTCTTCTTCAAATTTTAAGTTCCTTCTAATGTAAATGAATGTGGTTGAGGTAGCACCATTTTATGATGGGTTATAGTCCATTTGCAGAGCAAAGAAGGATGGAGGCAAATCTTGAATATTCCTATAAACTCCACTTAGAAAGCCACTTCCCATTGGCAGGAAGAGACAGAGGAACTCACACATAAGCCCAGTTGCAGAGCTTATTTTCTGAGCCTGAGGTCAATAATGAAACACGGATGGATGTGATCTCATCTACACTAATAAAAGAGAAAAATGGTAATTGGCGTACGACCGCTACCCTTCCCATTGGCTAATCAGCGTATCCTTATGCAAGTTAACTGTCAGCCAAGATGGCGGCCGGCAGCCAAGCAGCTAGAAGCGAACATGAGGCTTGCTTCCTCCAGGGACTGCAGAATCCAATGTTCCCCGCCTGCGCTGCCGGCCTCTGAGCTGGCAGTTTGAAACATTCTAACAAATATAGGCCGGGATCTCAGAGCTGAAGTTATACATTGTTTCGATTATAGAATGGCAAACAAACCAGCAGCGGAAGCCTCAGAGCTAGAGCCAGAGCTAAAGCTGGCCCAGAAGAAAAAAAAAAGAAAAAAAGGAGCAGTTGGGAGCTTCTGTCAATCGCCAGCCTTAAAGCAGCCCTCAGCCCCTCACCCAGACTGGCCAGGCACCCCAGTGGGGACCCCCACCCTGAAGGGTGTGTGACCAGCTGCAAACAGCCATCATCTCCTCATCCAGGCTGGCCAGGCACCCCAGTGGGGACTCCCACCCTGATCCAGGACACCCTTCAGGGCAAACCAGCCGGCCCCCAGGCCTCTATCCTATATAGTAAAAGGGTAATATGCCTCCCAGCACCAGGATCAGCGGAGCCGCGAGGCCTCCTGGCACCGGATCAGCATGACAGGGGGCAGCGCCCAAACCCCCTGATCACCCTGCGGCTCTGTGTGTGACAGGGTGTGGCGTCCCAACCCCCTGATCGGCCCTGCTCTGTGTGTGACAGGGGGTGGCGCCCCAACCCCCCCCCCCCGACGGGCCCTGCTCTGTGTGTGACAGGGTAGAGCCATAACCTCCCCATCGGCCCTGCCCTGAGTGTGACAGTGGCGGCGCCCCAACCCCCTGATCGGCCCTGCTCTGTGGGTGATAGAGGGTGGCGCCCCAACCCCCTGATCTGCCCTGCTGTGTGTGTGACAGGGGGCGGTGCCCTAACTCCCCTATCAGCCCTACTCCGTGCGTGACAGGGGGGAGCTCCCCAACCCCCTGATGGGCCCTGCTCTGTGCGTGACAGGGGGCAGCGCCCCAACCCCCTGATTGGCCCTGCTCTGTGCATCACAGGGGGTGGCGCCGCAACCTCCCCATTGACCCTGCCTTGAGTGTGATAGGGGGTGGTGCCCCAACCCCCCAATCAGCCCTACCCTGAGCGTGACTGAGGGTGGCATCGCAACCTCCC